CGCTCATCGTGAGCCGGCCAATGAGAGCAGCAACACCTGAGTGTCTGCCTGCTACGACAGCCCCTCAGGAGGTTGAAGCACCAGTGGCAAACACCTATTCTCCGACGACGGTTGCTCAGTGGACGACAGACTTTGTCTCTGATGTCGCCAGTGCAGGGGCCGCCACAACTCACGCCACCACGAGCGGGAGCACCCAGCGTCACAGATGGTTGAACCACCCCCAGCGACGCGACACCCACACCACGCGAAGCTGCCCGACGTCTCGCACGGTTCACTGAGGAGGTGCAGCTCGAGCGAATGTCGCTATTAATCGCCGGCCCACCCAGGCAGAAGGTGGCAACCATAAGACAACCCCTGCCAAAACGGAGCAGACGGATTGCCGCTCAGCCGTTGGCGCAGATTCCGACCTCCAAGTGGGGCGAGGTGCTCCTCATGCAGAAGATGGACTTTGCACCGCCGGCAGCTCCAATCTCATCCGCGTCCAAGCGAGTTTACGACGACTTTTTCGCAAGGAACCTAATGTCGAGCGAAGTGGAAGCACTGGACGTGTTGTTTCCGGCGACCAATGCTAGGACTGGTAGAAGACTCTTCTCGGATGACGGAGCAGGGTCGCGCGGCCAATAGCGGAGACGTCCAGCTCCGTAGATTACTGCGCTGCTCTGAGTTCGGTTGTTTACCTTTATGTAATATCGAATTTTGAAATAATCTGCTAGAAAGGTTCACTCACAACTGTAAGACCTCACAACTGTAAGACCTCCTAGGGCGCTCATTAGAAACATGTCGTATCTATGGTTAAACTCTTCTTCTTAAATACAATGATACACAATTTTTTTTACGTATTCAAGAAAAAAAAACTCCCAGCTGAAAAATAGAAAAGCTTCCGGCGTGTCCTCCGTTAGTGCCACGGTTCCAGGCTTCCAGCGAGAAGAGAGCCGAGAGGGTACGTACGTGTTCCAGCCATGAATTAGCCGAAAATGCACGAGGCAGGCGCCCCCCCCGCAGATAAGTATACTACTAGCACTACCGTCGCGTCTGCCGATCCGATCGATCAACGAACCCGCAGTTTTCATTCACTGCCGGTGCTACCCTACAGGCCTACAGTCGCAGCAGCGCTTGCTCTGCCTGCGCGCGGCGACATATCACGTATAAACCAATCAACTTATGTAAACTTAAAAACTATCAATCAAGACCATTAGATATTGATCCAATAGATAAGGTGAAAGAGCTTAAGCGCAAAAAAAGACCAGCGGGTGAGAAGCTTAAGCGCAAATTTTTTTACTTCTCACCACATCCATTGAATCAATATCCAGTGATTCTGGTCAGTAGAGTTTACACAATTCGATTTACACCTTATACGTTACCCCTGCGCGCGACGCCAAAGCAAGCAGCAGCAGCAGCGCCATGTGAAACCCATAAACCCAGTGGGGTAGAAAATTTTTAATGACCTCGTCTCCACCCATCCACCCCTATGTCATTGTCTTGTCCCTAGCTTCTACCGCTGTCCGCTGCGACACGGCACTGGGCATGTGCAGGTGCCTCAACGCGCTCTGCGGTTGTTGTTGTAAAAAAAAAAAAAAAAAAAAAAAGCTCTGCGGTAAAATCTCGAAGAAGACGACGCCGGGCACGCTGAGGTGAGATCCGATTCGGTGCTGTGCCTGTGGTACGCTCCCTATCGTCCGCGGATCGTACAAGGTTACGGTTTTTTTTTACAATCGTACAAAGTTACAGTTACAGGCGTACAGCAGGCTACTAGAGGCTCTCTTGCAGAACAAAGCTTTATTACGGAGTACGTACCGGTTAAACACACGGTGCACGTTTCGAACGATGAAGAGCAAGCAAGCATGTACTGGAGGCACTGGAGTGTAGGTTCGGGATTTCTTGGAAGCATTCTTTCCCATGAGACCAGCACATTCATCCAACTTTACCTGGAGCCTGCACGACTGACTGTGCACAGTAAATTTCCTGCACAAGCCGACACGCGCCATGTTCACCTGCTATGAACAGCGAGCTGCAGGCTGGCCAACAGCTTCTCGAATGGCCACCCACAGTTAGGGCAAGGTGCTAGCTGCAGCAACCCTCACGTAACTTCAATAATCAGGAGTAGCAAACATGTCGCTGTATCGTTTGGCTTATAAGCCGTATTTTTTCAGCCAACAAACAATATTTTTTTTTCACAATAAATCAATCATCAGTACTTTCAGCCATGGCTTATCAGCCAAGTGAACAGGGCATTAATTTTCATCCTATCCATGTGTTTTAATAATTGGGATGGAAAACCTCTCTTGATTTTCTACGAGACAATCCTTGTCGCGAGGATTGAATTGGTGCGTGCATACAACCCGGAGGAGATTGGATTAAACAACAAACCACTTAAGATTTCAATTTACAATTCGATTAGTTGAATCATCAATTAAACTAGGTTCTGATAAGATAAGTTTTGTTTCTAATTATAACTACATTAACAACTTGGTGGTGAGATTTTGTGTTTTTGAAGGAAGGCCCGTGGATCATGGTCCATAGACCTGTGATGTTGTCTCCATTCTTCATTGTTTTGTATGTTTATGGGAACGGACCTAGAAAAAATTGGACTAAAACTAGAAAAAAAAAACTGAAAAATCAAAACTAGAGGTAGTGCTCGAAGCAGGAGGTGATGGACGGAACGAAAAATAAAAATAAAAATAGAACGAAGGAAGGTAAGACGGATGACCGTTTGAATGAAAAAAGATTTTGGAACAAAGCAAGGTAAGACGGATGAAGGAACCACTTTGGTTTTAATATTACAGAAAAAGGTATATAATAAAGTGTATATAGGCCCCTTAGTGGATTTAGGTAGTTGGACCACAAAACAATTAAAGGACTAGTGAGTTTGATGGGTCTTTGAATATGTTTCATTGCAAATGATCATATCAAACTCATGTCTATCTCAAATGAAGAAGAAACGAGCATGTTTGATAAGGGAAAAGGAGAAACAACATGAATATGGTTTGGTCCCAATTATGACTTGATTTGCATGAATAAGAAGAGATCGATAGTTGAGTTGTATGTATCAAGTTTGAAGAATGAGTCAGGAATGCATAAGTGAAGAAATGTCAAGCAAAAGTCAAATGACAAAGGAGACAACATATAATGGATATAAGATGGTATCAATAACGGTTTGCTTGTATGGACAAAGATTTGAAAAATCACCATGCATTGATATTGATCAAGTTGGAAGCATGGGGAAGGAAAATTATAAAGAGTAATGGTGTTGTGAAGAAATATCAAGCCAAGGTGCAAAAGTAAAAAGAGACATGGTCATATGCAAATGAAATGGTCTTATTATGATTGCAAGCTCATATAGATGGAATAACATAGAATCAAATGAAGATGAGCCAAGTCATGCAATTGTGATGGACAATATTCGGAATATGATTTGTATCTATAACATCATCAGGTACTAATTTTCTGCATATGGTTGTATAATTTCTCAACTTGCATCTCCATTCCGAGTCTTTCCAAAAAGGCTTGATCTTACAGGCAAGTGGAAACTGATGTATAAAGGATACATATTATTCGTCTCAACTTTATAAGATTTGAGAATTATTTTCTAGAACAAACTTATAGACTATGTTATCCATCCCAACTTTATATGATTTGAGAATTATTGTTTGAAACAAACTTATGGACTCCTTTTTCGTATTTATAGCGCGTTGATTACCATATTTTGTTGAATTGATAGAAGTCTAAAGCCATTATTTTAGAAAAAAGGGGGCAGAGGCTAGGTTAGCCCCTATGTTAGAGGGATGCTAATTTTAGAAAAGCAGGGCAAAGGCTAGGTTGACCCTCTGTGTTAGAGGAATGCTAGTACCAAAAGCAGCCGGCTATTGAGTATTCTCTAAATGAACAAGACAAAGGTCGGCCTTCCTATCATGATCTGAACCAGTAGCTTACAAAGAGAAAGACTTTGATTCGATAAACAATCTAGTAAGAAAAAAGAAAGAATGACACGGACTTCCCAGTAAAAGAGAGAGAGAGAGAGATGGGAACAAGGTGTTCTGTTCGTTCTTTGATGCGATTCTTGAACCCATGTGTACTAACACTTTGAGCCCTCCACCCCTTGCAGCCCTAATTTAAAAAGCAAATATAACTTCTTTTTTTCTTGAGCACGCAAAAGGTTTGTGTGCTTTTGTATTAAGAGAGAAATTTTTGTTACATCTTAATCTATCTAGGTGGGCGAAGGATTATACATAACATAAGTGCATTGGCCCAGCCTAGACAAACAACAAAGCTTTCTAAGGTACTACTCGTTGCAATAGACAACCCCAATTTTTGCGCCGGCTTGCACCCACAACTCGGCTTCTCGCTTGATCGTGGCCAGCAGGTTTGGAACTTGGATGACTGCTCCAAGAAAGCACCGCGCATTACGCTCCTTCCAAAGCTCCCACGCAACGCAGGCGAAGATGGAGTCCGCGCCCTTTCTGTAGCTCCCTGATCACTGGGAACGCCATGTTTCCCACCAGCTGAAGATTGATCAGGCAGTGCTTGAGTTAAAGCAAATATAACTTCTTACTTCTTGAAGTTCTTATAACAATGAACTATGTTACATGAACATTTCCCTGACATATTTATGTTGGCAGCGTATTTTACACTTTATAATATTTTCTTGCTTACAATAGTCATGTCACAAATTTACAAACACTGTAAAGCAAGTTGTAATTTTTCTTTCACTTTGAGTAGTTTTTTTTTGTGTGTGTTGCTTTGCGGCACAACAGTCGCTATCTTTCCATTCTAAGTTTTTGTACAGCACAAAACAGGGAGCAGCGCTACAGCCCTGGTTTTGGCAAATGAATAATGCATACTTGCAGAGTTACAGTGCTTAGGCATGAGATTCATTGAAAGCTGCATTTTCTACTAACACATCCTGGTTCATTTCTAGATCCGTGCGTTTTCTTCTTCTCGCTTTAAAACCTTATATAATCTCCAATCAGTGCTATACCATGGGTTGGTGAAATGCAGAGTATCTACGACTCCTCAATGGGCATCTTGATGCCCTTGATCTCGCGTGCCAGAGTTCGTAGCTCCTCGACCTCGTCTCCTGTCAGGCTCCAACCGAGTGCGCCGGCGAACTCCTTGGCCTGGCTGGCATTCTTGGCTCCGGGAATTGGCACCACGTTCCCCTGGCAGGTCAGCCAGTTCAGAGACACCTGAAACGAAGGAACAAAGGGAAGATCAACCGTGTTCATGCATCTCGTTATGATCTCAAATGTTTTTGATCTGGAGATGTTCCAAGCTTTTTTAGGTGAAGCAGCGTACCTGGGTTGGACTCTTGCCATAGCTTGCTCCAATCTCTTTAATCCTGTTCATAAGTGGTTGGAGCTGTACATATATGACATGATGCATCTTCAGATTTCGGATAATAAAGTTGAATTGCAGAGATTGAAGCTGTGTGTCAGTGTAACCAGCGAGCTCTAGTTTACAGAACACTAACCTTGGTAAGGAACTCAGGTGTGTATGTATTTGCTCGAGGACCAGTAGGGGGATTTTCTGGAGTGTACTTACCTGTCAGAACACCTGAATTATGGGAACAAATTAGTGCAGGAAATGAGATTGGAAAACAAAAAAAATTGTATTGGGCTTACATCAATCCAAAACTGTTTAATTTAACATGGTCGCATAATTGGGTAAATAATTAAGAGACTAGCTCCTACCTTGGGCAATCGGGGAATAAGCAATCAAGGTGATACCGAGCTCATCACAAGCTGCCTTCACACCATTCAGCTCAGGGGTTCTGTATATGAGGCTGTAATTCACCTGGTTTGCAGCAAGTGGAACCCCCCTCTTCTTCAGGCGAGCATGTGCATCCCGAAGGCGCTTCTCTTTATATAAGTCATAGTAGATATTGTTATTTCAATGAGAACGCAATATCATTTTTGCGAGTTCAAGACATGATACAAACCATTGTAGTTTGAGACTCCAACAGACTTTACTAGGCCTTGCTCATAAGCATCGGCAAGGCCATCAAGGTATCCTGCATAATGCATGCTCAATCATGTCAGAACAACGAAGTTCACTGATTAGTCAAACAGATTTAACTTTTGCAAAGGGTATGCTGCATCGGTTACCTTCGTTCCCCCAAATCCCTGGCCTGGCAAAAGATAATGAAAACATAAATAAAAACTTGCATTTTTACGGGCAAGAAACATGTATCTGCAGAAAGAACAGGAAAACCAACCAGTGGAGTTGGTAGAGCTCAACTGACGATAGGCCAAGACGGTCTAGTGATTTCTTCAGCGCGGAAAGAACACTACCCCTTCCGAATCTCCAAGGAAGGGCAGCGAACTTTGTTGCGACGGCCACCTCGACCGGTTCCTTCTGTTGCCTTTCCTTGATGAATCTGATGGCAAGGCATACATCACTTGATGAAAATTACTGTTATACATAATCCCTTTTTTTATACAAAATTTTAAAGTATCAAACAACGGAAGATAGGATATTACCCTCCTAGTAAACTTTCAGAATTGACTGCTCCCATGAGCTGTAGGACAGAAGGATCCTTAGTTAGATACAGCTGTGCCTTCCTTCAGAACTGAATTTGGGAGGAGCAGGGAGGAGTGAGTGAGCTAGGTAGTTGGTTTATAGTTCAGTTTCTTACCGCTGTACCGTATACTTCTGCGGTATCGAAGAAGGTCATCCCGTTATCGATGCTCGCATCGAACGCGTCCTGTGCCTCCCTCAATCTCCTATCTAACAATTCAGGTCAAAGAAACTAATCACATAGCGCTACATTCGGAACGGAGTAAATTGGCCATTGACATGCTAAAACAATGCTAGCCGAGCAATAGTATGTGATGATTCGGTCACGGTTAAGGCAAAGATCGAGTAGGACTTTTCCTGAAGCAGCGGGATCATCGTACTATAGAAATTAGAAAGACAAGGGCTTGGCAAACATGCCAATCTCGTTGCTGGCTATCATGCGTGCAAGTTACACACACAGTATGCACGTACGATTCATTGTTGGCAATGCATCGGGCAGGTGTGCGCACTGGAAGAAGCATGGCCAGGATTTCAGGAAACGTTGACGTCCGCGCGCACCCCCGAGCAAGAATGAGAACGAGAACAAGCATCATAACAGCGCGCAGCAGGAGGTGAATTCCCACGTACCGTCCCACTCGGAGTCGTTCCAGTAGGTGGTGTCGCCCCAGGACCACGCGCCGATGCCGAGCTTGGTGACGGCGACGCTTGAGCCGCCCAGCCTCACCTTGCCCTCGTCCTCCTCCACCACCGTGGTCGCGCCGGACGCTACCGCGCGGGGCGGGCGACACAGCGCCGCCGCCGCCTGCGGCAACCGCCGGCCACGACTGCCCGGGAGAGGACGAGGGCAGCAGCAGCCCACGCCGCCGGTGACCTGCAACTGCAAGGCCATCGTGTCGTGTCCTCTAGCTAGGTAGCTTGCTCGTTGCTCAATCAGAAAGGGAGGAGCACGCGTTCTGTGTGTGGTGTGGTGGCGAGCTGAAGGATGTGTGTGCGTGTTGGCGTGGGAGAGCGGGGCGAGAGACGATGGGCGCGCCTGTTTTCATGGTGCCGGGAGTGCAACGGGTGTGTGTGGGAGTCGCTGCGGGACCGGGGCGGCGACAGGCCTGGCTTGGACTGCCCGGTTGGCGTTGGAGGCTAGCTTTGATAGTTTTCTGTACCCTGTGACCTGTGTGGCTGCAGGCCCCTTGTTTGAGACTAGGGCCTTGTTTAGATGTTATCCAAATTCTAATTTTTTTCACTCTCTTTATTATATTAATTTTTAGCCGTTTGCATGAAGTATTAAATGTAGGTAAAAAAAATAACTAATTACATAGTTTAGTTAGAAATCACGAGATGAATCTTTTAAGCCTAGTTAGTCCACGATTGGACAATATTTGCCAAATAAGACGAAAGTGGTACTATTTATCGGATTCAAAAATTTTGCAAAGTGAACCGGACCTAGCCTTGGTACTTGGTAGTTTCTGTGCGGGTGTGGCTGCAGGCGTCTTGTTGTGTACCGGGTGTTCCGACCTCTGCCACGTGAAGAACGTTGCACTTCGTTGGATCAACTAGATATTGGATTGTGCGTTGTTGCATACACATAAATTTGAACAGAATAACAGTTGTTTTAAAAAAATGGTATCTGTAAAGAAGGGAATAACCGAATAAGGAGTATACAAATGGCTGACATAACAAATAAGAGAAATCATATTCGAACTTACTGGCGCCCGGACGTCCGATCCGGACGTTAAGCGTAGGAACGGTGCCCGCACAGGGAGCGAGCGCCTAGTGCGTCACGCTCACGAACGAGTGCACCTGCAGTGGCCCCGCGTCACCCCGGACGTCACCCACACCGCCTCGAATGTCACCCGCGCCGCCAGTCGCCTCCCATGCGCATCTCATGTGCAACACCCCAATCCACTTTTGAAACATCCAGATGCAATAGTTGTCCCATGCAAAAGAAGACAGATAAAACACTTGAAACAAGCGTCTGCAAACAGACGCGAAAACGTCTGAAAAATATTTGAAAACCATTGCAAACATATGCAACGTCCATATGAAACACCTGATAACACTTGAAACATATGCTTGCAACATGCATGTATATGCAACATCCAGATCTAATTTTGCAACATTCAAATAAAACACTAACAATATACGTATGGAACAGATGAAAGTATGAAATATTTGAAACTTACATTTGATACATACGTGTATAGCTATTACAATATGTGCAACATCCTGATATACTTTTGTAACATCGATATAAAACACTTGCAACATACCTCTGAAACATCTGAAACACTTGAAACATACTCTTCCAACATGCGATTTTCACCTTTCTTCCTTACGACGCAACACAGAGCGGGGAAACGACCAATTCTGGCAAGCCAGCGCCCGAGGATGGTGGCGCGGCCTGCTGCGCCTACGCCCGGCCAGCGACGGCCACCTCTCCTGGCCACCTGGCCACACGCGGCGGCTGGCGCCTGCGTGGCTGCTGCTGGCGGGCACGAGCAGGCAAGGCCGCGAGGGAGGAAGCGGTAGTGATGGACGGCGGTCAGGGACGAAGGAGAAAGGCGAGCACAGCGCCGCCAGCCACAAACGCCAAGCCCTAGTGCCGCGTCAGGAAGACAAGCAGCGGTGTGGAAGAGAAATATGTCAGGCAGGGACTGTTGGACCATATGTATGGGCTGGATCCAATTAAAATAGCGTATGATAGGAAAAACAGTTCGGACGCCCGTGCAGGAGCATTTCCGAATCATATTCCTGCCACCATCTACTGTTACAGACGGACTATCGGATTAATATTCATGCATCAACACACCCAATGTACATCAATTCATTTATAAGTAAGCAACACCTCGACCAAGAATGAGTCTCCATTTTAAGTGCTCGACCAAGAATGAGTCTCCATTTTAAGTGCTCGATGTCGAGACATTTGTTTCCTTTTTTTCTCATGATGCTATGACTGCGGGAATTCTATGTGCTTGTTCATATGTTAGGGACCCCATTAGAGTGTTTAGAGTCTACTTATAAAGTCTGGAGGCTTGCTTGAGAATTATTTGTAACTTTTAGGGACTCTATTGTAAATATAAATCTGAAAACAAAGGAAGGTGGAGACGATCTTTTGCCCCTCACTTATTTGGTTCGCTCTCATTCTCTCTACTCGCACATATCTCTATTCGGTCATAGACCAACCCTGCTTAACCAAATATCACAAGTCTAGAAGCAACATGCTATTTGAGACTTATAATAACACCTTGAACGCGACTAAGTTAGATGCCCAGCATCTCCCACCAATGCAATTGTATTATTAGAACATGATCCTATTCACATGGATTAGTCTCCTTTAGAACACGTGATTTTTTTACTGAATCCTACGGTTTTCCTACGAAAATGAACAGTTCCCATAGTAAAATTCGTGCGTTCCAAAGAGGAATTTTAGAGGAAACTAATCATTTTTTTTATAAAGGAAGACTTTTCAAGTATAGATAGCACAAAGTCTTGAAATGCACATCCATCCACTACCTAAGGAAGCACACAACCAACAACAACAAAGTAGACCAATATATTGTAGTGACTATTAATCCATAAACTAAATCGTCATCCATGTGCCTAGAAAGAAAAACTTGACCACTTGTCCTAATTGCTACAACATCACCACAACCAAGGCTTGCAAAGCCGGTTCGTGGAGTATGAACTAAGTGTGGGGTCGATGGATAATTGAGTAGATAACCTACAATTAGAAAATGCCATATACTTAACCATAATGACCAAAACGTGGCCCTAGCAAAACTAAAGGCTTTAGGCCCTGTTTGTCAGAGCTCCCAGAGTTAATTCTCTGCTGAATTTAGTAGCTTTGCCAAACAATTTTTCAGATAGAAGTGATTCTCTGTTGATTTTGTGAAGTGATTCTCTAAAATGAACTAAGAGGCTGAGAGCTGGAAAAATAGCTTCTCCTGATTTGTGAAGTGATTCTCCAGCGTGATTTTGAGAGTTTATGCTAAAGAAAAAAAAGAATCACTTTCAATGACAGAATCACTTCTCTAAAAAAATAAGCTTCCATATAGGGTAAGAATCGCCTACCAAACAGACCCTTAGATTGTCACTAATGCCTCTCTAACCAGCTGCTGAACATGTGGCGCACTATGAGCTTTAGCTAATCCAGATGCCGCCTGGGTTATAGCCTAGACTAAATGTGCTAACTAACAATAGACAAAGCGCCTACTTGTCTCATCTTCATGACAAAAGCTACATGTTTTAATTTCTTGCCAATTATGTTTTGCTAGATTATCTTTAGTTGAAATAACTCGTGCACGTAGGCACCATAGAAACATCTTGAATTTTAAAGGGGTCCTTTAATTTCCATGAGCGCTTGTTTACATTAGTGATACCAATATTGATTAGAGCTAGATAATGAGATTTCATCGAGTATTGTCCATTTGGATGTAAATTCCGATAAAATACACCTTGTTCTTGGGTCAAATGGAGATCAACAATGCATGGAAAACAAATCATTCCAAGCTGCTATTTGGATCCCGTGAGGTCCCTACGTTAAGAAAGGCCTCAGCTCTAATCTCATTGTGTTTTGTTTGCTATATGTTTTTCCTATGTTGCTTCGAAAGACATTTTCTCATTTTTTCCCCCTGAGATCCTGCATGATTTCAAGTGCTAGGGTGTTTGGATTCTATGTTTTTTTTTGCTATTTCTGCATTTCCTAAATTATTTGTTTCAAAGAAGCAGGCCTTCGTTTTCTCACGCAGTGAGTCACCAAGAGAGAGGAGGCTTGAGCATTAGCCCGGTCCATACATACCATGTCTCTGGAGCACTGATCGCCGAGGGTCTCTGAGCGCTGATCGCCGAGGGTCCAAGGCGTTGACCCACCCGAGGTCCAGTTCAGTTCAGCCCAGACCAGTCCGCCGATGCCGATGGCGGTGAGCAAGAGCAACAGAGAGTTAGGGAGCCAAAGCCGTCACGTGCACTCGGCAGGCATGGTGCATTCCAGCGATGCCGACGACGGCCGAGAGCAAGGAAGGCAAGACGTGATGTGCATCAGTGCATGGTTGCGCCTCTCCTGCGGAGTCCAGACTGTGACCTCGTGCTCTGCTCTCGGGGGTGAAAGTGGAAAAGGAGACGGGCAGACGGCCGATGGATCGATGGCGTGCGGCAGCACGAGAGCCCCACTATTAGCAAAAAGTCGAGAGGCGATGAGAGATCAGATGATGGCTGGCTCTGGCCTCTTTCTGTCAGGCTCCAAAAGATTAGTATCATTGTTCATGGACAAGGCTAAGCACCTACTAAGCGACGAATGGAAAGCGTTTTCAAGGCTCTGCGTCTGCCAGCCTGTACGTGGCTTGCCTGCCTTCAAGTCGTCGTAAGCTTTCAGCAAAGGATTTGGATTTTGGATGAGGATGATGTACACAGGGGTGTTTGGTTCTTTAGTCGCTCCTATAATTTATGTCACATCGAATATTTAGATACTAATAAAGAACATTAAATATAGATTAATTACAAAATCAATTACATAGATGAAGGCTAATTTGCGAGACGATTTTTTAAGTCTAATTAATATGTCATTAGTACATGTTTACTATAGCACCATGTTGTCAAATAATAGACTAATTAGGCTTAAAAGATTCGTCTAGCAAATTAATCATAAGTTATGTAATTAGTTTCGTAATTAGTCTATATTTAATACTCTATGCATGTATCTAAATATTCGATGTGACCGAAATTTTATGAACGTCTGTAAAAACCAAACGGGGCCTTACCCCAACATTTGTGTGGTTACTACGGAGTACGGTACTGGCAGTCTAGTCCAGCACCGAGGGGGTGAGAAGAAAAGACGGCGTATGCCCGTGCGAAATCGTCAATTATGATGAGAAGAATCGGCGAGGCGCTAATCATCCA